AAGTATTTATCTGCCCATGTTATATATTTTATTTCTACTATGCCAGAGGGGAGATTGTAATGCAGTTACGCACGTAATCTTGGGGCTTTCACACATGTAGGTACTCATTTTGAGTATGTTTAAGAAAAATGTTTTGAATGAAAGTGAATTCTCTGATCATATAAATAAGTATTGTAAAAACCAGTATTCTAAAAATAAGAAAGGACAGGGCCATTTCTTATGCGTTTCTTTTGCTATTATTAGGCCAAAATTAAAGTGTTCTATTGGTACTTACTGTCTTAATGTATTTATTAATAACAGCATTGAGATGATTAACTGTGGATTAGCAGTAGCAAACAATAGGGTTATCTGACTAGTTACCTGGGAGGAAAACAGCTTTAACCCTCTCATTGAATCTGGCAGATTTGTAAAATAAGTGTCATCATCTCCAGTTTTCAGATGAGGACCGAAGGGTCCGGTAGGGCTGAGCAGCGTGCCTAATCCGTACAGCACGGTAGTGTCTGACCCAGACCATGAGTCTTGTGACTCTGATCATGTCACAATAAAATGTTACACAAGTGAAATATATTTATTTTTTTAAACTGCAAGTATGCTGCGGTAACTGTGTGTGGTTGTTTATGTGGGTTATGCTGAGTGGGCCTTTCAGACAGGAGCCCTGCATACACTGGGTGGCAGAGGGTACACCCTCAGAATAGGGAAAATGTACGTGATGGTGCTTACAAAGACCAGGGACCTTTTCTCACAGAATCCTGGCAGCCACCCTCACGAAATACTAGCTGAGTCTTCTCAGTAAAATCTGGCCAGTGCGAGAAAAGACTGGGTTAAGATTCTCACAGGAGAGGCATCCAGGCTAAACTGCCTGGCCAGATAGTACTGCAGTGCAAGTCAGCATAGCGGATCTGCTCCACACGCTTCCAGGGTTTGCGGTCCGTCATAGTCTTGTGCAATTAAAGAGGGACCAATAACCAAGAGCGGTAAAAGCCCTTAGAAGAAACAGACTGTCAGGCTAAAGGAAATGTCAGAAAGAAAGTATCTTCAGAAAGATGTAGTCAGGAATCAAGGACAGCTGACTGGCTGGCTGGCTTGCTTGGTTTTTGCAGTATTGGCAACTGAGCCCAGGAGCACTGTACATTGAGCTACATCTTTAAGCCTTTTTATTTTTTGTCTTGAACAAGGTTGGAATTTTCTATGCTGTTCTTAAGCTTGTGATCCTGCTGTCTCAGCCTCCCAGACAGCAAAGACTTACAGGAGTGCCACCACCCCAGCAAAAACAATGAGAGTCTTTAGAAAACCAAAATGCTTAGAAAAAAATATGAATAATTCAGTCAGAAGGTTTAGGGGCCAGCCAAATAGCTCAGCAGATTAAAGCGCATGCAAGCAGGCACAAGGGCTAGGGGTTCAATCCCCAGGCCTGCTGTGGTGGCGCACACCTGTAATCCCAGCTCTTGGGAGGCTGTAAACAGGCAGATCACTATGAGTCCAATCTAGTATTGAGACCCTGAACACTCTGTAGACCCTTCCGTACAATACAAAAAAAAAAAAAAAAATGTAGACGTTGAGGAAATACCTCAGAAAAATAACACAATGACAAATAAGTGGAAATTGTGAAAAATAAAATTCCAGGACAAGAGATCCATCAGTCTCCCAGACATCCAAAAAGAAAAAAAAAACAAAAACAAAAACACTTTTTCCAGTACTAAAGTCAGATTAATTTGAAAGAATGTGGTGAAAGAAAAAAAAACCTATGGACATGTCACCATGGACATGAAAGTTCAAGGACACCAAGGGCAAAGAGAACATGAGCAGGACACAGTATCAAGAAACAAGTATCAGGGCCGGGGAGATGGCTCAGTGGAATAAGTGCTTCCCTGGCAAGCACAAGGGCCTGAGTTCAATCCCCGGTTCCGGAAAAAAAAAAAAAAAAGTATCAAAATATCTTCAAATTTCAACAGAAGCAGTATCTTCATACTTCTAATAGAAATTTCAGCCCTAAATATCTTCAGAAGATGAGGGTAAAATGGAGGGCTTTGGTCATTAGATCTCAAATATATCCCATGCCTTTCTCAAAAAGCTCAGAGAATGTGCTTCCAAACGGGAATAAGCTAAGAAACATGAAGATGTGGGACAGCACGGCGTAGAGATGAAGGAAAACGAAGGACCCTGACTGGAGAGAGAATACACTGAAGCACATTAGAAAACCCTGGAGATACATTTTTAGAAAGCGTAATAAAACATCTAAGTATTTTATCATCTCAACTCAACAACCAACAGAAAGAATCCTAAATCAAAGCCCAAGACAAATGCGGCTTAATTTATTTTAATGATTCCAAAATATAGGGGTGAGGTACTTGTGATACTAAGATGGAAAAGGGGAGAAAAGTCTATGAAAGTCCTTTTTTTTTTTTTTTTTTTTTTTTTTTTAAGGAACAGTGTATAGGGTGTTCAGAGTCTCGCTACGAGGTCGGACTTGGAGTGATCCCCCTGTGTTCAGCCTCCCAAGAGCTAGGACTACAGGCATGCGCCACCACGCCCAGTCTCAATTGCCATCTCAGCGCGCCCCGGGCGCGGGGCTGGCACCAGCATGGCACACCAGGAATCAAACCCCGGCCTCTGCCTAAGCAGGCACCTTCATCCCATGAGCTATTTGGCTGTCCCTGCAAGAGTCCATTCCTTTTTTTTGCAGAACCGGGGAATGAACTCGGGCCACTGTGCTTGCCAGGCAAGTGCTTATTCCACTGAGCCAGCTCCCCGGCCCCCAAGAGTTGATTCTTGAGCTCATTGCTGTGTAAACAGTGGACTGTGGTTTCACAGAGCCCTCCAAGAAGTGTGATAACTCTCAGGACTGTCTGAGAAAGACTGGGTGCTCGAGCATTGATCTAAAGACTTGTAGGGAATGACCTCTTGAACATAGGCCAAGAGTGTACAGGTGGCAGAGAAGGCCCTGAGGCGGGAAGGTGGAAAAATGAGTCCGAGCTCTTAGATGGAGTCGAGGGGAGGGAGATGTTTTCCAAGACCCCAGGAATCGGGGCAGGGAGATGGCTCAGTAGAATAGCGCAAGGGCCTGAGTTCAATCCCTGGTTCCGCCAAAAAAAAAAAAGACCCCAGGAATCAGGCTGAGCATACAGTTCAGCACGGCACCTGCCTGGCAAGTGCAAGGTCCTGAGTGCAATTCCGAGCACCAAAAAAATAAAGACCCCAGGGTTCAGCCAATGATGATTTCAAACAAATTTAAAATTTAAATCAAATGCCAGCTATTAGTTCCAGGAAAAGAAAAGGCCATGCAGAAAAGAAAAAGTAAACCACAACCAGTGGTTAAATAACAGTATTGAGAACAATAAATGTAAATTAATAAAATTGGAACATAATTGGGAGATTATGTGTTGTGCTCCTAAGGCTGAAAAGCTATCTGAATCTGACATACTGCTTCTAAAATTACATGAACACAGTGGGCCAGGATTAGTCAAGGCAGTCTTGAAGAAAAATCTGGGAGTCAGGCTACTAGATTTCAAGAATTGTCACAATGCCGTGGCAATTAAGGTAGTATGACATTTATTAAAAATAGACAAAATCGGGGCCGGGAAGATGGCTCAGTGGAATAAGCGCTTCTCTGGCAAGTGCAAGGGCCTGAGTTCAATCCCCGGTTCCGCCAAAAATAAAAATAGACAAAATCGCTGTCTGGGTTTGGGCCTCCTCACATCGACATGGCTAAGTGCACAAAGAAGATCAATATTGTCAGTAAACACGGGACTCACTATCATGCCTCCCTCCAGAAAATAGTGAAGAAGATTGAAATCAGCCAGCACGCCAAGTACACCTGCTCCTTGTGTGGCAAGACCACAATGAAGAGGTGGGCCGTGGGGACCTGGCACTGTGGCTCCTGCATGAAAACCGTGGCTGGTGGCACCTGGACCTACAATACACTTCTGCGCTCACAGTACAGTCAGCCATCAGAAGACTGAAGGAATTGAAAGACCAGTAGAAGCTCTTATTATTTGAGACATCCCTAGCCTATAATAAATAGGTTAATTTATGTAATGAAAAAAAATAGACAAAATCAATGAAATAGAGTTAAAGAGTTCACCAACGGGCCAATACTTAGTCACTTCATAGCTGACCAAGGTGTCCTGCCATGAAGGAAATACTCTTCTAAT